CTCGTTGTGTCGTTCGCACTGAATGCGCCCTGAAAAGGTCGCCAGCATCTCGCGGGTTCCCCCGTCAAGGGTCATTATCATATAATTCTACGATTGTCTGATTGCAAATTGCCTGATGATAAGGCATCACGTGCGTTTCCTCGTCTGTCGCAGGCACTGCGGCCTCTCAATCCGCAGGTGTCCCCGCCATATCTTGATCTATTTCGGCGGGCGCGCGCGGCAATTATCGACAAATTCGACGCGCGCAGGTTGCCCCGCGATGGGCATGCCAAACCCGTCTGCCAGTTTGATCTCACTGTGGCCAGCGAATATCTCCTCGAAGAGCTCGCCCGCGAAATTCGAAGGACACACTGGCACTCACATACCTGGCAGTCGTGAAATGAACAACTGTAACTGAACTGTTGGCAGGGTCGGCCAATTACGTTTCTCTATCGACATACTGCATACCCGAGTCGGTGTGAGCCACATGCATCGACTGACCTCCGCCCCCCCCCCCCCCCATCGCCCCGAGGGCACCCGCGGCAAAAATGCTGCGTGCCATGGCAGGTGTCACATTCCACTGTTGTGCCGTCAGCGTCTTTCGGGCTGCCCCGACGTCCCTGACCTTTTCCCGAAGTGCGCCTACGATTCCGACCTGCGCCCAGGAATGCTTCTTCATATTGCGGCCCAGCAAGGAACGCCAGGAAATCTGACGTACCTCTGCCATGCAATCGCCGCCGCGTGCCCTCGCCCTTGCCCCGACCCTTGCCCTTTCCCCGGACTGCCCGCCGGATAACACGTCGCACCTTACGAACTGGCTGCTCCATAAATCGTATCCATCTACGCTTATGCTTCTGATGTCCTAGAAACAACATTTGAGCCTGTTGTTCTTCCATAAGACACGTGGGCATGTCTGAGTAGTCTAGGGCGTTCGCTTCGTCGTCTGATGACGCGTCGGCGTCGGTTCCAGAGTCGAAGTCGGACTCAGCGGGCTGCCCCGTTGAACCTGCAAGGGCAGTGGCTTGCGCAGGGGCCGCCGTTGCCAGCGGCCCCTGATACCTGGCCCAGGAGTCTTGTGACCCCGCGGCCGAGACATTACTTTGAGCTAATAGCGTGGTGGTTTCCGTTGGGTGTGGATCGTTGTTCCAGACGTTCGTAGCAGGTTGCCCTGCATTGGCTTCAGCATGGAAGGCTTCGGCACGGTAGCCGTGGCTGAAAATACCACCAATGTTGCCAGGGGTTCGCTCAGCAATGTGAGCATATGACCTCATGCGTTCAAGTAAAGAGTCAAGTTGCTGCTGATTCCTCGGCATTAAGTGGTTAAGTGGCTGTAGAAGTTGTTGTGCACGCGACGTCTCCACACCTAAAGCTCTGAACAGAATAACCGCTAGAATTTGGAAGTTGGGGATGTTAAAGCCTGCCGTTTCAGCCTCATAGCGGGCTATCTCGAAGCGCGCCAATGTCTGGTCGATCCGTTCTGCCGCATGGACTCGAAAGCCGATGAGAGCAATACCCGAGTTAAGTTGGCGTTCCTGTTCTAAGTTCTCAAACTTCGGGCTCAGGAAGAACATAGTGTAGGTGACACCATCAGTATGGCGGCCACCTATGTTGACGCCAAAATTGATGACTGCTGGGGGAACTCTCGTGGCTATGGTCCGTGCAAGGTCTCCCAGACCACGCTGCAATGCTGCCTTGTTGGGATGGCGTCATATTGCCTGTGGTCACGTCGATCCAGGCATGTACCTCTCGAAAGAATTCGCGGAAAAAAAGTACTTGACCTGGCGGGTCCGATTGGGGCCCGGTTGTCCTTGTGTCGTCTCCGCCACGCATGTGTCCCACAGCGCACCCGATAGCAACCCATAGGAGACCAAAGCTAGTAACCCCAACCCAATGGCCCCGTAGGTCGTGGTCGGATGTGGTTGGCTGAAGTTTGTGGTGTTTTGTTGTAAGCCTGCGTGGGAGTGGAGGCGGCACGATACCGTATCGCATGTTGCCATGCATGGCATGTTCAAAGAAGTTCCCAATTGGAGTAGGTGGGTGGACTTCAGGAGTGTAGTAGCGCAGGGATGTAGGATTCAAGTGAGAGCCTCTGCGAGAGCAGAGATAGCACTGCAAGTGTCCTTGCGGTTGTGCGTAGTTATGTACATTCCTCCGCGCAGACCCACTGCACCCTGATGTTCCACCATGTCACTAGTCCACCAGATAGTGCCGTGAATGGTGAGGAGCAGAACAAGAGCTGACCACCATAGGCCAGCTCCGCTGCCAAGCTTGAAGGGGGCCGGCTGGCCCGACCAGAAGCTTCGCCATAGGCAAAGCACAGCTCCAGCTCTGTTGTACCGCTGTAACGATAGTCCCAGTCGTAGGAGGTCGTCGCGGGAACGACGGGCCATCTCAAGCGAAAAATGCTTTCGGTCTCGATGGCGAATCGTATGCCTCGCAGTGAGGCACCGTCATATATAGGCGGCCGGCCGCTTGAGCACAAACGGCCGCGGACAAACGTTCGTTATCTCTCGCCCTTGTCCCAGCTCACTCTAGAGTCCTCGTCCCCGTCTTGGGCGCCGACTTGGGGCGTTGTTGAGCGGTCTAGGCGTCTCGTGGGCCGTCTTGGCCCCCTCGCGGGCCGTCTTGGAGCCCTCTTGGGGGCATCCTCGACCGTCTTGGGTGCCTCTTGGGCCGTCTTGGACGCAGTGGAAGCCCAAAAGGCGGATACGCCAAAAATATCAGTTTTCCCTGAGGAAATCGACGATGTTTGTTCATTTGGGGCTCTATTGGGGTGCCCCTTGGGAGCCTCCTGTGGGTTTCTTGGGGGGCTCTTGGGGCCTTTGGGGGGCCTCTTGGGGCCTCCTTGGGACCTCTTGGGGCTTCTTGGGAGCCTCTGGGGCCGAAAGCTCGGAATTTGAACATGGTTGTGCACCTCTGGGACCCCTCTGGGGCTCGTCCTGGGGATCCCTTGGGCTGTCTTGGGGGCCTCTCGGGCCGTCTTGGGACCCTCTTGGGGTCGTCTTGGAGCCCTCCTGGGAGCCTGCGGGGCAGTCTTGGGGGCCTCTTGGGCCGTCTCGGACGCAGTGGAAGCCCAAAAGGCGAACACGCCCAAAATATAGATTTCCCATAGGAGATCCACGATGTTTGCTCATTGGGCCTCTCTCGGGGTGCCCCTTGGGAAGTGTTCGGGTACTCTTTTTGTATGTTTTGCGTGTCTTTTGGGGACCTCTTGGGGCTTTGGGGCCTGGGGCCTCCTGGGGGCCTCTGGGGCCGAAAGCTTGGAATTTGAACATGGTTGTGCACCTCTGGGACCCCTCTGGGGCTCGTCCTGGGGCTCCCTTGGGCTGTCTTGGGGGCCTCTCGGGCCGTCTTGGGACCCTCTTGGGGTCGTCTTGGAGCCCTCTTGGGAGCCTGCGGGGCAGTCTTGGGTGCCTCTTGGGCCGTCTTGGACGCAATGGAAGCCCAAACGGCGAACACGCAAAAAATAGCAGCTTCCCCTGAGGAAATCGACGATGTTTGTTCATTTGGGGCTCTATTGGGGTGCCTCTTGGAGCCTCCTTGTGGTCTCTTGGGGGCCTCTTGGGGCCTCTGGGGGGCCTCTTGGGGCCTCCTGGGGACCTCTTGGGGCCTCCTGGGGGCCTCTGGGGCCGAAAGCTCGGAATTTGAACATGGTTGTGCACCTCTGGGACCCCTCTGGGGCTCGTCCTGGGGCTCCCTTGGGCTGTCTTGGGGGCCTCTCGGGCCGTCTTGGGACCCTCTTGGGGTCGTCTTGGAGCCCTCTTGGGAGCCTGTGGGGCAGTCTTGGGGGCCTCTTGGGCCGTCTTGGACGCAGTGGAAGCCCAAATGGCGAACACGCCAATAATACCAGGTACCCCTTGGGAAATCAACGATGTCTGCATATTTGGGGCTCTATTGAGGTGCCTCTTGGGAGCCTCCTGGCGGTCTCTTTGGGGCCTCTTGGGGCCTTTGGGGGGCCTCTTGGGGCCTCCTGGGGACCTCTTGGAGCCTCCTGGGGGCCTCTGGGGCCGAACGCTCGGAATTTGAACATGGTTGTGCACCTCTGGGACCCCTCTGGGGCTCGTCCTGGGGCTCCCTTGGGCTGTCTTTGGGGCCTCTCGGGCCGTCTTGGGACCCTCTTGGGGTCGTCTCGGAGCCCTCCTGGGAGCCTGTGGGGCAGTCTTGGGTGCCTCTTGGGCCGTCTTGGACGCAGTGGAAGCCCAAACGGCGAACACGCCAAAAATACCAGGTACCCCTTGGGAAATCAACGATGTCTGCATATTTGGGGCTCTATTGAGGTGCCTCGTGGGAGCCTCCTGGGGGTCTCTTGGGGGCCTCTTGGGACCTCTGGGGGGCCTCTTGGGGCCTCCTGGGGACCTCTTGGGGCCTCCTGGGGGCCTCTGGGGCCGAAAGCTCGGAATTTGAATATGGTTGTGCACCTCTGGGACCCCTCTGGGGCTCGTCCTGGGGCTCTCTTGGGGGCCTCTCGGGCCGTCTTGGGACCCTCTTGGGGTCGTCTTGGAGCCCTCTTGGGAGCCTGTAGGGCAGTCTTGGGGGCCTCTTGGGCCGTCCTGGACGCAGTGGACGCCCAAAAGGCGAACACGCCAAAAGTATCAGATTCCCCATGGGAATCGACGTTGTTTACATGTTGGGCCTCTCTCGGGGTGCCTCTCGGGGCGTCTTCGGGGCCTTCGGGGGCCTTCTAGGCGTCATGGGAGTCGTCTTGAAAGGTGTCTGGGGCCATCGCTGCGGCCTCCTGAGGCCTCCCTGCAGCCTCTTGGGGCCCTGTTGGCCCCAGGTCGCAGAACCCTTCTAAAAACACAGGAAAAATGATGCCCTGGCCCCACATTTGTGGTCGTGGTCCCGGCCCTGGGCCCCCGGACCAGGTCCCCCGTGAAATGTATAAGTGTGTGTGTGTGTGTGTGTGTGTGAGTGTGTGTGTGTGTGTGTGTGTCTGTGTGTGTGTCTCTCTCTCTCTCTCTCTTCTGGCCGGTTGGCAAAACATCGCGCTACTGAGCACAATGGTTCCCCTCAGAACCACGTTAAGTACCTGCACGCTGAACCCGCATCGTGATTGACCTCGGCTCTTCCCTGGTCAACTTCATCAGCATGGCCCTGCACGAGCCCGACGCCCCGTCGATCTCGACGATCTTGTCGCGAATACGGATTGTCTGATCAGGATTATCGTAATTCCACTGTGCGATGAGCCCTGCTTCCAAAATGGAGTTTACGACCAGGCAATTGTTCATCGTGTCAGGAGCGATCTCGATGCCGATTTTCGAGTTGCCAGTCATTTGAATTTCGACGTCAATGCCTGGTGTCGGCTGCCCTGGCATGGTGACGCAGACGTCGAGCGTGACTTCTTGGCTGTCGCTACCGAACAGCGTCACGGGAAGTTCTCCGACGAAGCCGCTCTCGGCGAAGTACTCATACTGCAGCTCGGCCGCACCGATCTTGATGTTGCGCTCGGCAAAGAGGGTGAACTGCAGACTGTCGGGGCGCTTCCAGCTCTGCAGGGGGGTCTTCAGCTTGAACTCCGGATCCTGACAAGCGGGCACTGGCACGGACTCGATGATCTCGTGCTTGCCAGGCACCTGGCAGGCGACGTGAAACTGGCGCGCGCGGGTCGTGGGGATGTTGTTCGCGCCGATGGCGCACACGACGAGACTCGAGCTGACGCCCGTCGGCCGGGGGGGCCTCCCGTGGGACTCGTCCGACTGCCCCGGCTGCGGGGGCTCGCAGTCCCAGTTGATGTCCGACAGCGGGCCGTAGTGGTACTTGAGCTTTGGCGAACCTTGGAGAAGCTTGGTCGCGCGACCCCCCGGCACGCCATCGCTCGTCGTGCACGGCGTCCAGCAGAAGAGAGGCGGGGTGATCTGATCCCTGCTGTCACACTCCCTCTTGTACAGGTGATCGCCGCTCGCGTCCGAGTACGGAGACGTCGAGATGACCCAGGTGTGCACTTCATCCGCTCGGCGGCGGATGTAGATCTTGTTGAAGCCGCCTTTGTTGACCTGGGGGGGGCAACAAAAAAAGCCCTTCCAGTCCAACCCTCTCCAGCTGGCCCCCCCCCTCTACTGCTTACATCGCTTTCACCTCTCCTTCACCTCCCCTTCCCCCTCCCAATTCCCACACTTCTGCTCCCTATTCTTCTTTGTCCTTCCTGTTCTATGCCCCATGCCCCCTCCTGCCAGGACATCCGACGACGTGATCTATTCAGTATGGGGTTCTCGGAGCTCGACCTCTTCCCACGGGTCTTGTTTCAGCCTGGGACGCTCTTTGGAAGGCCGTGGGGCCCGAAGCGGGCCTCCGGACCAAAGGCCGAAGATTGGTAAACCCGCGAACCCGGAAAGGGGTATAGGTCTGCCGAGCCTGCACGCTGCCTCCTGACGGTCGCTGTCCGCGGCGTCGTCAGCATCGTCGCCGCCTTCTTCCGCATCCCCCTCTGTTTCGCGCCACGCAGCCTCCGGATCCGCTCATTGCCGCTAAGGCGGGAAGCCCTGGTGACGCGCCACGGCACCAGTGGAATGCGCCAGGGAGCACGCCAGTGGACATGTCAGGGGACATATCAGGGGACGCGCCAGGGGACGAGCCAGGAAATGCGCCACGGGACGTCCCAAGAGATGCGCCAAGGGACGCACCAAGGGACTTCAGGGGTGTGTCAGGGGACGCGCCGGGGGACGAACCAAGGACGGCGCCAGTGGACGTGCCAGGCGACGTGACAGGGGACGTGCCACGGAACGTGCCAGGGGACGCGCTAGACATGGCAGTGGACGCGCCACAGGACGTACCAAGGGACGCGCCAGGGAACGTGCCAAGGGACGTGCCATGAGATGAGTGTCAGGGAGTGCGCCAAGGGACGTGCCATGGATGTGTCAAGGAAGCACCACGGAACGAGATAGGGGACGTGCCACGGGACACGCCAGGGGTCGAACCACCTGGCTCTGCAAGCTTCCCCCCGCGGATCCCTGTCCTGGGGTGGGCCCCAAGATTCTTATGAATCACTCGGTCCGCTCTCCGAGAGACGCCCCTGTTCTTTGACTACGCTGGATCCGCGCTGCGAGGATCTCCGTGCCTGTTGTTAGTCGAAATTATATGCGGGGGGGCCCACCATCCTCGAGCGGGCACGCACGGTATCCACTTTGACAATTTGGAACGACTCCTAAGATCATAGTGAACGGGGGGCACAAATCTCCCAGACGAGCAATTGTAGACCCCCCCGGACCAGCCATGAAGGGGCGGCGTTTTGCCAGACCCAAACGAACCCTTTGAGACAGCTCGCATCCGATCTCAAGAAACACTCATAACGCCTTTTGTTATGTCAGACGAAACCAATATGATAATCAAACCGAGTAAGGATAAATCCGCCAACCCAGGCGGCGTTTGTGAGACGCCGTCGTCGTCGTCGTCGTCGTCGTCGTCGTCGTCGTCGTCTCCTCTTTTCCCCTCCCCGACGGGAGAGGGGGAAGGGGGGGGGAGGGGCAGGAGGGGGAAAGGGGAGAGGGGGTCCTGGGCCAGATTGCCGCCCACCCTGGGTGCCCGGCGGCCGTCGCCCTCCCGGCCCCCGTGTGGCTCCGCCCGTGGAGACGGGGAGAGCAGGGGCCTGGGCTCCCCGTCGGCAGGAGGAGGCGAAAGGTGGGGCAGGAGGGCTCCCTGAACTTTCGCCGGGCTCCCCGGGCACCGTCATGTGACCCTTTTTGAGCGTCTTGGGGGCCGTCTCGAATTTGATAGTGCAACCCCACGAGGTCGGAAAAGGAGAGGGAGGAGGAGGAGGAGGAGGAGGACCAGGAGCGGCAGCAGGAATGCGTACTGCCTTGTTGGAGGCTACATGGGAGATATTTGACGGCCTTTTCGGAGGGTTTTCGAAGCATCTGGGAGCCCCATCGAGGGCTTCTTGGGGACCTCTGAGGGGGCATTTCGGATAATATTGGGGACTGTCGGAGACCGTTATGGCGTCTTGGAGGCCGCGTGTATCGTCCTCGGGCCATCTTGGGCCCGGGCCGTCTTGGGAGCACGCCTGGGCTTTCGTAGGGCTCCCTGGACGCCGTCTTGGGGGCACTTTGGTCGTCTTGGGGCTCTCTTGAGCAATGTCGGGGCCGTCTTGAAGGCTTCTTCAGATGTCTGGGGGTGATCTAGGAAACCTCTGGGTCCGTCGTGCGCCACAGGAAGCTCGAAATGGGGACAGTCCACAAATACTTCCACAACCTGCGGATGATCCAAATGCGTTGCCTCCGGCGGCCCTCTTGGGGGTCTTCCGGATCTTGCTCGGGAGCCACTTGGGTCGTGCTGTGGCCATCGTAGGACCGTTTGGAAGGCGTCCTCGGGCTCTCTTGTCCATCTTAGGAGTCGTTGCGAAGCCTCTGGGGCCTCCGCGACGTCCAGAAAAGAGCGGGCGGCCAGCCGGGGAGGCCGGGGGGGGCGTCGGAAAAGTGCCCTGGGGCGGGGTTTAGGCTGTCCGAAAGATGTCCTGGAATTTTGAGGGGGGAGCCATCCAGAGGAGGCTTCCATGCAGGACGTCTAACTGAAGTAATGTGTGTACCTATGTGCGTCACCTCCTTCTCTCGTTGTTTGTTGTTTGTTTGCTTATATCCTTCTCTCTCTCTCTCTCTCTCTCGGTATCTAGATAATATCTATATCTATATGTATATGTACATATATATATATATATGTATGGATGCATGCATGCATGAATATACGTGTGTGCATACAAGATTGCAATGGCGCTTCGCGCGATGCACCTTGATCTTTCGAGTTTCGCACGCGGGTGTCGTGCGTGCGCGTGCACATGCGCTCGCGGATATGTGCATACATGCCATACGCGCGCACGTGCATGCACGCCGTACACGTTTCGACATGTGTGTGTGTAAATATAACTGTGTGTGGGTAGATGCATGTGTATATGTATAGATTCATGCGTGCGCATACGTATATATCATGTCTACTTGGGCAGTTCTACGTGCGCACCTATGTATGTCTATACACATACGTATACGTCTACATATACATACACATATGCATATACATGTCCATATACATATACATATACATATACATATACATATACGTATACGTATACATATACATATACATATACATATATATACACACACATGCATACATACATACATGCATACATACATACATGCATACATACAAGCATACAAGTACGCGGTCGTGGCCACAGAGGGGAGGGGGGGGGGGGGCAAAAACGGAGTGAAGGACTCGCGAGTGCCGAAAGATTTGGGTAGGAGACGGCATGGAGGACACGGCAGAATGTAGAACGGATACCTGGGCTTACCAATGACCGTGTCTTTGGGGCTATGGACGGAGCCGTGTGAGGGCCTTGGGGGGGCCTCGGGACCGTGTCGCAGCGGGGCTCGACGCTGAAGTTGTTTTGCGCCGCCGCACGCTCTTAGGAGGCCTCGCGTTCAGAGCGCTACCGTCACGTGGACCTTGTTGGAGCCTCCCGGAGCCTGCTGAGGGCCTCTGTGGGACGTGGTGCAGTCCGGTTATGGCTTGGGCCCGTCTTGGGGCGCGTATTGGCTCTGTTGGGCTGTCTCGCAGTCATGTTCAGGTTCCTAGCCCATTTTGGGCATGTCTTGGGGGCCTTTTCGGAAGTTTTCGAACTTCTGTTGGGTCCTTGCAGGATCTTTTGGGACTATTGGGGACCTCTTGGATCTTTCTGGGTTTTTTTCGGGGCCTGTTGGGGGGCCTCACCTGGTGCCCTGTCGGGACTGTCTGGGAGCGCTCTTGGGCCGGTTTGGGGCCCTCTTGGGCCAATTTGGGGCCCTCTTGGAGGTCTGTCGGGCCGTCTTAAGGCGATCTTGGGGGCCTCGTGGGCCGTCTTGGAGTGTCGGGAAGCCGGAAGGGGAGACCGCAAAAATCCCCCACAAACCAACGGGTAATCAATTACTTGTTCCTCGTGGGGCCATCTTTGGAGTGCTCTTGGAGGCTTCTTGTGACTTTTTGGAGCGATCTCGAACTTCTGTGGGGTCCTTGCGGGATCTTTTGGGACTTTTAGGAACCTCCTGGTGGTTTCTTGGGGGCTTTATCGGGGCCTCTTGGGGCCTCTCCGGGGCCTCAGGGGAACCTCCTGGGGCCTCCTGGGGCCCTCCCTGTCGGGACTGTCTGGGAGCGCTCTTGGGCCGGTTTGGGGCCCACTTGGGCCAATTTGGGGCCCTCTTGGAGGTCTGTCGGGCCGTGTTGAAGCGATCTTGGGGGCCTCGTGGGCCGTCTTGGAGCGTCGGAAGCCGAAAAGGGGGAACTCAAGAATCCCCCACAAACCAATTCGAAATCCATGAATTTGGCCCCGTGGGTCCCTCTTGAGAATGCTCCAGGAGGCATCGTAGGACGTTGTGGAACGATCTTTGGGGGTATGACGGTTCCTTCGGGGTCGTCGTCGACCGTCTTGGGGCTCTCCGGGGTCATTTCCGGAGCGCGCCCGAACGTCGGGGGCCCTCTTGGGCCGTCTTCGGACTCTCGCGAAGCCCTCCTAAGTCGTCTGGGGGGGTGTCCAGGTTCCCTGGCCCTATACAAGTATTTCGATGTGTGTGTACAGATATATACACATACATACATACATACATACAAACAAACAAACAAGCATACACATATACATATATATACATATATACACATCAATACACACAGACACACATATACATTATGTACAAAGACGAGCCTGTCTCTGGAGAGCCTCGGAAACCCACCCATCCAACCCCCAGGCACCGCCCCCGCGGCCCAGGGGAAGGACGGAGAGGAAAAGGGGGGAGAGGCGGAGACGCAGGCGGAGCCTGCACAAAAGGGACGTGCAACAGGCGAAGCCTGAGAAAGTGAGAAACACACGATGTGATGCAGCATCTTTATCTTTGCACCAGAACACGAGTTGACCAAAACCATCATGTCACGTTCGATGTCAGTTCGGACGTGCTGCAACTCAAAATATCGAATGTCCCTCGATCGAGGGTTTCGCACTGAAGTGAAACCTCATCCCGCAAGTCGGGAAATAATCCTCAAGCTCTTACCTTCAATCCGCGCTGAGAACCTGAGTGTGCCGAACTCCGCTTAGCGAGCCTTCAAGATAGATGGCGTTGCCCACTCAGAGCCACCATCTGCGCCTTGAGCGGCGATCTCACGGCCGTCGCGTCCACGGCAGACTCGATAGCATCTCTGACTCGGGCTGTGATGCGCTCGAGCTCTTTACCAGGGTCGGCACCAGTCAGTGACCGTAACAGGTTAGCCCATTGCCGATCAAAACCCAGTCTCGCGAAATAGAAACGGATGGCCAGGATCTCCTTTGCCACTCGCATAACCTCCCAATCCCAGATGAAAAAGCTCTCAGAGAAATCGAACTGAGCCGAGGTCCTGGCCGCCGACGGCGCTCTGGGAGACACTGCCTGGATGGAGCCCCACAGCTCCACAGCCAGAGTCTCAGGCACCGCCAGAAGTCCCCGCTCGAGCTCCTCCATCATGCATGGGCGAGAGCGGGCCCCGATGTCCACGACAAAGCGGCCCCCGGTCACGTTGAGCCTGCACCCCAGTAGATCGATGCCCGACCAAGCCCCGTCGACCAGAGATGCTGCATTCCTTGCAAGAGACAAAGCCGCCCCACCGACGGCCAACGTAAGGCTTCGGGCCGCCAAAGCCACTGCACCTCCAGCCCCTGCCACATCCTCGACCAAGGACTCCGCTGCCTCGGCGCTCCTGGACACGCGGGAAAAGACAGCCGACAGTATGGAGACACAGATCACCCCGAGGATGATGGCGGGAAAGAAGCAAGGGCCGAACCAAGGCCGCAGGATCTCACTGCAGTTGGCAGCCATCTTTATGTAACTGACCTTCTGAACTCGCTGCTGCTGCTGAGGTCTCTGTAGCTGGGGCGAGAAAGGCACCGTGCGCGGCAGGGGGGTGCCAGCCTCGTCCGCGGGCACTGCTGAGAGTGTCGCGGGCGGCGGATGTACTCCAGGGGACTTGCTCTTGGGCGGCGCGAGCACCATTGAGACTGCCCCTGGCGACGCCGACCTTGACGTGGCCCTTGAGACTGGCGCACTCACTGCCATCCAGCTGCTAGGCGCGACAGGAATCGCTGGCAGCGGCGGAACCGCCCCCGTCTCCTCCGACGGGCCCTTGACCCACTGCCCATTGACTCTGATCACGCCCTTCGGCGCCATCTCCGCGAAGACCTGGCGCTCCCCAAACGCGTCCTGGGAAGCACCGGCTGCAACCCCTCTTGAGCCAGCACAGCTGTTGCGCGACACCTTTCGTGTTGAGCTGGGTGAGGATGCGACTCGCACCTACAATGTCCAGGTATATTCTCAGACTGAAATCCGAAATCCACCTTCCTCGCCCACGCACTTCCTCAAAGGAGACGCCCTCCGCCCGAGAGTCGCCGGCCCAACCTGCGCGAGGGCTGCGAGGGCCCCGCCCCACGGAGAGACCCAGGGAGCCCTCGACGTCCTTCAGGAGCCTGCGGCGCTGCGCCAAGCTGAGGGGGAGAGCGGACTGCCTGCCGGGGTGGCCCTAGCGATGTCCTCCAGCACCTCCACGATGCCCCAGTCCTCCTGGAAGACACGGGCCACCTGGGGCATCTTGAGCTTGGTACCCGTTCTCGGAACCAGGGCTATGGATACTGAAACCGAGCCCATGTCTCCCCCTAGATCTCGAGGAAAAACTAGATCTTCAGGCAGTATGCCCAAGAGCTCCGAAGGCTGAAGGCCCGCGCGACACTGCACGATGAGGGCAATACCCGAACGAGGATGACCTCTGGAGCCCAGGTTAACCCCCAGGAGCTTGCCAGGCAACTTTCCCAGAGGTACAGTATGTTTCCTGCCAGCGTTTCTCTCCCATCCTGCAATCGCAGCTTTGCTCCACAACATCTTGCCCCTCATTCGAGGGGAGAAGAATTCAACTGACGCAACAACATTGACGAGCTTTGCTGGCGCGAGGCGTTCAGTCTGATCATTTTTGAACTCAGCCAAGAGATCGCCCCACTGGTCTGCGCCGCCCGGGTGCAAATTGCGCTGGGGCGCCCAGGCTGAAAACTGCAGCCCAGCACTCCGATAGACGTCGAGAGTCTTCTCAGTCACTCTGGCACCCTGATCGGGGTCGAGCCGACGCGGCCCTGCCCGACCCGAGCTGCCTTCTCCTAGACAACGCATCTGCTGTCTGATGTGCGGCGCCCACCCAGGGTAAGAATAGCTCGATGCCCGTCGCCGCTGAATTTGCACCCACCTTGCGCAGCAGGTAGTTCAAATGCGGGGCCGAAGATCGCCCCTTCGCCGCTGCCGCTGCCAGAGGCTCGTCATCCTGCACGTTGCATATAGCGTGATCGTGGGCTCTCGCAAGGCACGAGAGGCCCTGGAACAACTTCGCAACAGCTCGGCCTTCACCCAGGATAATATGATCTGGTTGCCGCCACCTCCCCGCGCACAGGTCACTCCGCATGTCTTGAGGGATCTGCAGCAACTCGCGCGGGATGCGCGAAACTAGAATGCCCCCCCCCCTCAACTCCTTGTCCGCGCGGTTAAGGTGGCTCACCGCGCCGTCGAGTCTCGAGACTGCGCGCCCAGGCTTGGCACCTGCACCGATCGCCCTCTCCGCCTCGTGCTCCGAGATGGCCGCGCCCGCGATGCCGAAATCCCCGCGATCCACCCCGTCGGCGTTTTTCGCGCCGGGCGCGAAGAGGACGAGGGCGGCAGGGAGGTCCGGCACGCAGGTCATCATCGGGATCAGGTCACGCATGATCCGCACCTCTCGTCGCGCCGACGCCCACCAACGAACGACTCGACCTTGCTTCTTCTCCATCAGGTCGAACGCCGCGGCGGGCGCCGACATGGGCTCACGGCGGAGCAGAGCACTCCGCAGCCGCGCGCCCACAAGGGCCCGCAGGAGCTCCACATCCACCCAAAGCGTCTCGAGGATCCACGCGAGCGCCGCCTCCAGGAAGCTGGCCCCGGCACTGGCCAGCCTCGGGCGGGGCGGGAGGCTCTGCAACTCGCACCTTCGAGCCCTCCGTGATCACCTCCCGCTCGGTCACCACGAAACCTACCTCCTCCCAAGCGTCGGCTATCTTCTCCATCATCTTCTCAGCTTCGTCTCTAGCCGAGCCTCCGCGGGGGCAGGCCGCGGTGCTCAGGCCATCGCCCACGTGAACGTAGACAGCCTGAAACCCAGGGCGCGGCCTCACGCTGCCACCCTGGCGGCAGAGCTCATTCAGCACGTCGAGGCCCTCCGCGTCCTTCTCGCGCGCCCACTTCGAATGACGGGGCTTCTCCCATCCTGTCCCGGGCCAACCTCTGGGCCCGCGTCCAGCGCTGAGCATCCCCATCGCCGCCCGCACGACGCACAGGGCGATCATGCGGCACAGACCAGGAGGGCGCGCCAGCAGACGCCGAGAACGGAAGACGCCCTCGGCGTCCTTCCCACGCGCCCTCTCGCGGACGCGCGCGCCGTCGCAGCGCAGAGCCTGATCCCCGATTCTGTCCAGAGTTAAAGCCAACGTCGTCGCGCACCGGTCGATGTTCGCCACCTCCACGCCGCGCCTCTCCAGCATGCCCCCCGCCGCGCCCAGGTCCCAGATGCTGGGGAAAGGGCTTCTCTTGGGGGCCTCTGGGGTGCCCCATGAGGCACGCGCCACCATTTTGTTCGACTGTGTCACATAACCCAAAGAAATTGAAAAGCAATGCGTTGGCTGCTGTCACTCGTGCCCTCTCTGGCTCCGTCAGGTCCGATCTTCCCAAGGGCTGGTCTCGGAATCGCAGCGGTCTTGGGCCGCCAGACAGAAAGCGGGCACGACTCCACGTTGCGCGCGGAGGCGCCCCCAAGAGAATACCAATCACACCTTCTTCCACCATCTCAAGCAGCATAACAGCCAGATAGGGCTCCGATGCATCCCAGCGGTAGCCGAAAGCCAAATCCACTCCAAAGTAGAACAGAGGAACTCCACACTCGCGAGCCAACTCCTCCACATAATGTTGCACGTCTAACCTCCGCCGACCACCTGCGAACGCAAGCAGCGCCACCGCGACTCGGTCCTTGCCCCGCTCAAGGAAGCGGGCCTTCTCGCGAAACTGCCCCGGTGAAAGTCCTGCTTCCTGCCGTCGTATGCCACGCTGTTTCTCCTTTCCCTTGACCCACTCAACGCCCTCGATCACGGGTTCGCCAGGGAGGTCCGCGCCGCGCTCCACTACCTGCCCACCCAGGGCCGCCGCTCACCAAGGCGCGCCCGATGGCCTCGATGTCGATGCTCACCGGGATATGCACTGCACGTGACAGCCCCACGGGTAATCTCACAGCCTCTCACGCATGTCCTCCTCCAGTAGTGACCACGCTGCGGCTGCTGGAATCGTTGGCGTCGCCATCCAAGACCACGTCCACTCTGGGGGGGCAACTGGCGAAAAGGCGTTGCCCTCATCACACCTGGCCATGTGCAGATCCATCCCTGGCGCGCGCATGAGCGCGAGCGCACCTCCACCTCCGAGTCCGTAGTCACCTCGCCGACGCACGTCGCTCCAGAGGTTGTTGGTCGGCACCGCCATGATGAGCTTCCGCATCTTGTAGCCGTCCTTCTTCAGCACCGCCGAGACTCCGTGGACCGCCTTCGCCTCGCTTCTCTCCTTGAAGACCCCCGGCCCTAGAGGGATATCCTCCCGGTGTAAGTGCTTAATGTACTGCTCCATCTGTCCTCCGAAGAACCCGAACTGCCTCTCGAGCTCCTCCACGCGCTGGGCGGTCTTCCCCTCCAACTCGATGACGTTCTCCTCCTTGCTGCAGTGCAATCAATGCCTCATCCTGGGGGAGCGCTTCGAGCAGAGGGACCACCTTCGTCGATGTAACCTCGTCCACTCTGTGAGCGATAAACTCCACGTGAGCGCCCCTCTTGTACACTCTCCTGTAGCCGACCTGATCCATCTTCACAAGCTCACACCTCGATCGTACGCCTGTCGCTGGGCGTAGCCGGCGAACGTGGAGCTGGCCCTGGGCGCGCTGCATTGCTCGCCGCTGGACCTGCCCAACAGCAGAATCCTCCATCAGCTCGTTGCAGAACTTCTGCTGCAGTAGTGCGGTCTGGCGCTTCATAGATCCAGAGTTGGTCGCACTCAAAGCTCCCAAGATCCGATTGGCCACCTCTCGTACTTCCTGCTTCCGTCTGAGTCGTTTCGTTGTCGAAGCCGCCCTGAACGAACCCCCGCTCGAGCAGGTCGGGGGAGAAGTGGAGCAGGCAAGGCGGCTCGACCCCTCTGCAAGGCGGACGCCACTTCCGAGAGAGCTGGGGACCCACGGTGGGAACGTAAACCCTCCTCATCATTCGGCCTCTCCACTTTGACTCGCCATCGGTCCTTCAGCCCCGGGCGCCCCCCTGCCCCGCAGCCCAGGGCAGGGGGGGGGGGCAGCCGTCAGGCCGCCTCCCCACCCTTCTTGGGACCTCTTCCGCGACCACCTCCTTTGTCACCTCGATCTGCCTTGGCCGCGGATCTCCGTCGTAGCTTAGCCGATGCACGTTCAGCTCGCTGATGCTCCATCTTGCTGTGAGAGGTCGCCTCCGTGATAAGCCAACCTGGCGCGATGTCCAGCCCGCTGCCAGGGGCCGTGACCGCCCGCAGGCGCGCAGATCCAACCTTGTCGTGAGCCTTGGACTCGCGCACGCACGCCGAGAGATGGCGCAAGGATATCTCCACATTGTCATTCGTCGTCAACACCAACATGAGCTCCTGGTCGTTCGAGCACTTGCCTAGCTCGAAATCTAAAGCCGATGCCACTGACCAGAGCTCCTGCCATTGATCTCCTCCTCGGTATCCCTGGAACTGCTGCTGCAACCGATGCCGTACACTAGTGCTCCCTGCCGCCCTGACATTCCTGTAGATCTCAACTCCAGCTCGCTTGAAGTCGGGCGGCAGGGCGTGGGCCCACGCATCAACCTCGGCACCTCCAGAGGCAGCCGCTGGGCCACCAAAGCTTCCGTCGAAGCTGCTGGACACACCGAGGCTCTCGAAACCCGCCAGCACCGTCTCCAACATCTTCGGGTCGGGTGGCGAGCGCGCGCCTGGGCCCACATAGCCCCTGGCCACCAGAGCAGCACGGACAGCTGGGTCGAGGCGACCTGTCTGCTCCATTCCCGCCACCGCCTGCCAGAACTGCTGTCCCCACCAAGGGTTAGAGCTGGCACCCGCGTGCAGTTTCAGGAGCATCCCCTTCAGCTGCGAGGCGCAGGCGGCGGCAGTTTCTGAAGCCTGCAGCCCAGGCCTCCTAGGGCTCGTGGCGGTGCCCATGCCCGCCGGGGGGTAAATCACCTGGGGGGCCATGGGCGGCCCTGTGCTGGGCGCAGCGCCAGTCCACGAGACTGGGCCCGCGTCGCGCGCACCGAGCCCGAACGCGTGGAACGCCTCCATGGACGGGTCCGTCACTCCTGCCGGGGCGCTTGGCGCCGTCGCTCCTGCCAGCCCGGGTTGCGGGGCTGTAGGAGGGGGGAGGGGCGGCAGCGAGAAGGCCGCGGCCACCTCGGCGGGCTCCGTCGCGCCGCCGCTCGCCTCCCCCTTCAGGCGCAGCCGCTCCAGCTGGGCCCTCAGTGTCTCGACCTCATCCCTGCCGCCGCGCAGGGAGCTCCACCATTCTCGAACGCCACGGACGAAGCTCCACAGCAGCGCGACGAAGATAATGCACACGCCGAGCCCCAATCGTACCACGCTGCCTCGTCCCGTCTCCGCGTTGAGGGACAGCCCTGCACACAGGCAGCCAGCGAGGCCGAGCGCACGTGGGCCTAGCCAGCGAATGAGACCAAGCAAGACTCCCGACTCGGAGCCATCCGCCTCGTCTGGATCCGAGCGCGGAGGAGGGGCCATCAGCGGGTCTCGGGCATCTGCTACCTTCCCTGGATGGTCACCGCGCGATGGCCCCTCAGGCCGTCATCGCTCCGTTGACCCAGAATTGCTATGAGACATGAGATGCTGCATGAGCTGATAGATCAGGCACTATACATTAACAACCACTCTACCCACTCTCATCAAATCATAGATGCATGCATGCGTGCATGCATGCATGCATGCATACATACATACATACACACATATATGCATGCATACATACACACATACAAACATACAGACATGCAGACATACATACAGACATGCAGACATGCAGACATAACGACATACAGACATACAGACATACATGCATACCTACAGGCACACATACCTACATGCATGTATGCATACATACATACATATATACATACACACGGGCATACATACATACATACATACATACAGACATACATACATACATACATGCATGCATGCATGCATGCATACATGCATACATACACACATACATACGTACATGCATGCATACATGCATACATATACCTACCTATACGAGTGTATAGCTGTATCGCTATGTGTGGGCGCGTGCGGATAATACGCATACACACATACATACATACATGGATACACACATACAGGCATCCATGTCCTGACGACCTATCTGCATACATTCATACAGGCATATAAACATACATACATACACTCATGCATGCATACATGCATAACTGCATGCATACATGTGTACGTACACGCATGCATACATACAGACACGCAGAGAGGCATACATGCATGCATGCATACATGCACACATAACTACATACGTGCATACACACATGCATGTGGGCATACATTCATACATGCAGACACGCATGCAAACATGCGCACAGTTGTACATACATATGCATGCACACAAGCAACCATGCCACCATACACATACATACATGCCTGCGTGCATTTATACACTACTACAGACAAACATACGCACACGCATGCATGCATGCATGCATGCATGCATGCATGCAGGCATCCATGTATACATACATACGTGTGTGCATACATGTATGCATACATGCAAACATAAAGATATGAATGCATGCAAACATACCTACCTACCTACATACCTGCATACCTACCTACCTACCTACCTACACACAGACCGGCTGACATCGATAGAGATATACATACATCTGACCACTTTCCTTCTGACATGAAAAGGGGAACCACCCCCCCAGATGGCCACCACCTAATTTGGCCCTCCCGATGCGCTTCGGATGATCTCGGGGCCGCTCCGAGACGGCCCGAAGATACGGCCAAAAAGGGCCACGAATGGTCCCAGAGAGGTCCAAGGGGGCTCCAAGAGGGCTGCAACACGGCCCAAGACCGCTCCAAGAGAGCCCAACACCGCCCAAGAACATTCAAAGACTGCCTAAGATGGTGTCAGAATAATCGAAGAGGGTCTGCAGACGATCCCAGGGGCCACCTGGACGAACCCCGCGCAAGTTTCAGGACGCAAAACAACTATGATATGTTGTGGTGTTTGATTGTTTGGTTAGCTTCTCGCCTTTCCGCGCTCCAGACGGCCCACGACGGTCCAACAAACACAGAACTTCACCCCGGCCCCAAGACGACTCAAGATGCGCCCAAAAAGGCCCCCAAACAGCTCAAACAAAAACGCGAAGACAACCCAAAAAGGTCCCCAGACGGCCCCAGACAGCCCCATGAAGCTTGGAGGAGGCTCCCAAAAGAGTCCGTCCGAATAGGGCCCCAGAAAGCGTCCTCTAAACGGCCAGCGGCCTCTGCCTTGCTCCCCGCTCCCCCTTCTCCTCCTCCCCGCCCCCTCTCCCCCGTTCTCCCTCTTCCCTCCTCCTCCTCTTCCTTCTCCTCCCTGCTCCCTCCTCCCTCCCGGCTCCTCCCTCCTCCCCCCTCCCTCCTCCCTGCTCCCAGTCCTCCTCCTCCTCCAGCTCTCCAGCTCTCCCCCCTCCCTCCCTCCTCCCTCGATCCTCGTCTTCCGTCTCCCCCCAAAGTCGCTCAACCCTGCCTGGAGCTGGAACGCCTCCGCGCCAGCAAAGTCCTGCATCGGCAAATACACGCCTGGGGTGGGGAGGGGGGCGGACGAGGCCGACGCCGCGCACGGGCGAGAGAACAGGAAGAAGGAGGCGGGGGGCCAGGAGCGGGAGGAGCAGGAGGGAGGGAGGGAGGAGGGAGGGAGGAATCGGAAGTAGAAGGAGGAAGGGGAACTGCGGAGAAGGGGGGGGAGGAGGCGGAGGAGGAGGAGGAAGAGGAGGAAGAGGAGGAGGATGAGGAGGTGGCGACAGAGACTGGGAAAACAAAGAGAGAAAGAGAGAGAGAGAGAGAGACAAGGACAGAGAGAGAGAGAGAGAGAAAACGAGATATCGCAACAGTTCGACGAGCCGAAAACCGTATGGCGCGAAGGCTGCAATCGCCCTTCGCGCCAGGCTGCATGATGTGGCGGGAGGTGCCACTTGTGCGAGCATGGGTGGGGAGACGACCCTCCTCCTAGCGCGGTTTGCGGGGACACTGTCTTCAAAACAGAGGCGGGGCGCGGCGATCAGAGCGTGGAAGATTCCGTCTGCACACCCGCAAGCAGAGAGACGCGGGTGCACACGTTCCTTGGCATGCATGATATGGCGCCCTGGCAGTAGCGGCGCCTCTTTTGGGTGGCCCCCGCAACGGCCCAACAACAGGGCCGTGGAACCGGGGCAAACATTTCACGACGCCCACGATGAGGAGGGACCCAAGCACTGGTATGCCGCGCGCTTTGGGGCAACAGGGGCCTGGAGACTATCCAGGCGAGGCGCCCTACGGTAGGCGGCAGGCCGGAAGGCCTGCCGCAAGTCATCCCAGGCAGCTTGTGCACGTTGGAAACCGTCATGCAGTGGAGCTGACTTCTCGTGAATGTGCTGGAGGGACTGGGGGAGGTCTGTGGCTCGCTGGTGCAGCGCGTTGATGCTTGCGACGAGGCCCGATGCACGGTGGCCGTTCGGCTGCCGAGTAACAGACGTGAAGTGCTGCGTGAAAGTTTGCTTGCGGTCGAACCGCTGGGTGCGCCAAGATCCGCGCCTTGTGCCAGGTGGTGGCGTTTGACCGTCCACTGCTCTCCGTGCCCAGCCTCCTGGTTGGTGGACGCGCTGCCGCGCTGGCGGTCTGAGCAGGTGGCGGCGGTCTGGGCGTGGGGGGCGCGAGCCGCCTGGCCCTGCCCGCGAAAGGGGGTAAGATTGGCACGCGTCGCGCGGGTGAGCATGGTCGCTGCGCTCGTCATCGCCGTCGCCGCCGTTCATGAAGGCGTCGAGCCCGAGCGCGCCGAGCCCATCTTCCGCCATGAAAACAATCGAGCTGGCCCGACGGCGGGTCATCGAGGTGGTCGAAGAAGTCAGGTCCTGGTGGGCCGCCTGGGTAATCGGGGCCACCAGGCGAGCCTGGCGGCTCGTTCCCAGCTTGGCCTGCGGCGAGAGGGTTGGGCCTCACCCTGCCGAGTTCAACCCTGCAGCATCCCGCTCTTCGGTCAGGCAAGGGTAGCGGCTGTCATGAATGACGACGACCGCGCAGTGGAGAACTGCAGCGAATGCGCGTCGCGATTCGACGGCGCCAATGCGGCTCCGTGGAAGGGCGCGCAGGCGCGCGCCGGCAATGCCGAGCACATCGGCGCGGCGGTCGAAGGCGTCAGCAATTTGCGCGACACGCCGCGCGCTGATGTCTTGCTCGCCCAGATGGCCTTCCACGTTTTGGACTCTGAACGCGCCTTGTTTGGCCTCTCGGACCCCGTGGATCTCAAGCCAAAGGTCGGTCTGAGCGCCCGCTCGCGGCGGTGGATGACCAGAGAAAAAGTGCACGAATCCGTCGACCACGGCTGGCCGTTCAGCCCTAGCCATGAGACGGAGCACGGCAAGCGTCTGCGTGGACTGGGGCAGCCCGTGCACCCACGCAGAGAAGTTGAGCCAGTGGTCAGCGCCATAGTGAACTCCGGAGCCAATTGCGGCGAGCGAGGAGAAGGCGCGCTAGGTGGGGGCAAGCTCCATCGGTCCCTGGCTCGCCGGTGCATTCCTCGTAGAGGTCACCGTCGGGGCCATCTGGCGCGGGGCGCGAGGCGGGCCGCGGGGGCTCGCCCTCGGCCAGGGCGACTAGGTGACCAAGAAGCCGGGACGTCTTCCTCCAGAAGGCTGCGTTGTCCAGCATGGGGCGGCGGGCCCCGCCATCGTTGCTCGGCGGCAACGGTGATCGGAGCAGTCCTCTCGGGTTCCCAGCGCGGGCATTTCCGCGAGGTGCGCTCTAAGTTTCCTTCTTCTAGGCTGAACCGTCTGCGCGGCGGAAATGGTTAGCCGCGATGCTGGCCCTCTGTGGGGCGCGGCCGCCCCCGCAGGGGTAGCCGGCGAGGAATTGCCGGGCCGCGCAATTGGCCTCGCCCGTGGCGCGGAGAAGCCACGCGTTAGCGAAATTTCCATACCCTCTCTGACAAAAGCGACGGCCCCAGGTGGCGCCCAGAAGTCAGGATGCGCCGGAGGAAGAATCTTCCCTTAGAAGCACAGTCGCGCGCGCGAGCAACCTCGCTGGCGGGCGTTTCCATGCAAGGGGGGGGGGGGCGCCCCATTCATCGCGCATCGTGCTGTAGGTTGGCCAGCTCTATTTGAAACAAGAAATGGTTTACCACGCGCTTCCCTCGAGGTCTTCTCCTTGGATGATTTGCGCGTGGCCGCGCAGAACCTCGGCTCTGGCTTCGGGACTGGTGTCTCTCCGCACTTGCCTTCTGAAAACGAGCAGAGTTCCCCGCTGCGCGATGGCGCCGAGCTCGATGGCGCGCCCAGGACGACGCGAGCGTAGGGGGCCCATCGCGAGATCCAGAATCTCCCTACGGCCCTGATGGCAGCGATCGCAGCGTCGTCGGCAAGGTTCGTTGGCCCTCTCGCTGGACGCTTGAATGTCCGGCGCCCGCGGTGCATGCGCTGGCCGCGAGAGGCGCGACAGACCGCGCTCTTGTCTGAGCGCTGGCGGGGAGACCAATGCGCAACAATCTGGCGACAGCCCGTCGAAGCCCGGCGCCAGCGGCGGCCTCGAGGTTCAGTTTATCATCGCCAACGACAGGCGCGACGTTGGCGGTGGAGCTCTTCGCCTGGCGGCGAGCGAACAACGGCTGCTCGCAGAGCTGAGAGGGGGCCACCCGGCGGCGGAGCTCTTCGCCAGAGGACCAGCCAAGAAAGCTACCAGGGCGGATCTTTTGGCCAGACGGCCTGTCCAAGAGGACGGTCTCGTCGAGCGGCTTCTGGAGCCCACTTGCCGCGGGGGCCGCGGAGTTGCCGTCGCCGACAACTGTTGAACTCAGTGAGCGGGGCGCGTGCCGGTGCCATCGCGCATTGCGAGCGCGCGCGGATTTCGACGTCGCAAGAAGAGAAAGAGCAGCTTGGAGGTGGCCTCTGGCGCGGGCCAGAGGCCTGGAGTAGGCGTCATGCATCTCTGGTAATTACCGTTGGAATGCGACCTGACTTGGGGGAGATCTCCGGCGGGCGCCCCGCACGCGGCGTCGGGCCAATGCAAATGTTCGCGGAGAGGTAGGCTGGCAATTTGCGCTGGCCCGACGCTGCCCCCGCTCAACCTGCAGCGCCAGGGTCGCGCTGACGCCCCCAGCGGCGGCGCGCGGGACCGCCCCGACGCTAGCTGGGCGGGCCCAGCGAGCCCCGCAGGCAGCCTGTTTTCGGCGGGCTGGCGCTTCCCAGGCATGCCCCCACGCAGACGCGACGGACGGGGGGCCGTTGGCCCATGGGGAGTTTGCCTGCTCCCCTCCGCAAATATGGGCTCGGTCTGCGCAAGAGAGGCTCTGGATCTCGGCGCGCGCGTCGCACAGCGCATCATGCTGTAGTTGAATAGCGGAGGACTCCGTCGGATGGGGCCCTGGCCCCCGTGGCAGCCCGCCCGCCCAGGCAGAGCTGGGGCCGAGATTTCTGCATCTGCCCATGGGCCCCCGCGCGTCCGTCATCAGTTTGAGCATGCATGGCCCTGGCGCTGGCCTGGATAGTGTTCTGTTTTGGCCTCAATTCGGCGCGTTCGCCGGAGTCGCTTCCACAGTCCGCGACGGAAATGCTCGGGGCGGCGGCGGGCGCATCACTGGCGCGCGGCTGGCCGTCGACACCGCCCCCGCCATTCGTCGGGCAACTGGTTGTTGCGCGAGGCGCGAACGTTGAAATCGATGGGGGTCTCGGCTGCTTCGGCCCACTTGCACGTCGCTCCGCCTCCGTCTCTGGCCCGCGCGCGCGCCTTCCAAGCGTTGGCGCTGTTGGCGCCAAGGTAAAAGTCGGCATGGAGTTCGAGCGGCCCCAGACGCGCGGGAACTCGGCCAGGTCAGCGACGCGGCGGCTGGCGAGGTCGTCACCCGCATCTCGGGCACTCTTGATCGGCGCCCAGAGGCAAGGATGGACGGCGCCACGAGTACCCCAGCGCCCCTGGCGGGGCGCCGAGCCATCCTCGACGGCCCCGCGGTGTCGCAGTACCTCGTCGAGAGCAGACGCGGCCCCACTGGCCCCTTCCGCGCCGGGGGTGCGCGGGAGGCGCGGCGCTAGCATCTTGGAACCATGGCTCCTCGCTGTGTCGCGCGGGGTCTTCTCCGAGGTCCCGCGGCGGGCGCCTGCCGCTGAGTTCCCCGCGCGCCGAGCGGCCCGCATAATCACATGTCTCGACGACGTCGCCGGGGGCACCGTCCGCGTGCATCCGCGCGGAGCAAGCGCGTTCGACGCGGCCCCCGAGCGCTAGCTGGCCGCCAGGGCCCATCTTTCGATGAGCCGGCGGGTCTGGCACCGTGGCCTTCAGTCTCCACGCGGGGTGCCTGAGCGCATCGAAGCCAAGGGAGACCACAAGGACAAGGCCCTGCTTGGTTGTGAGGTCGCGCAGAAGAACGAAGTCTGCGACAAATTGCATCGATTTGGACTTGGCGAAGACGTGGTCGATTCAGGTACTCCCCGCGCAGCGGTGCGTCGGCCCCACTTGTCGTCTCATGGGCAGGCGCGCGCTCGCTCGACGGGGCAGCCCGCCGCGGCGTCGGCCCGCCCGGGGCTCGGGGTGCGAGCGAAGAAAGTCGAATCCTTCAAGTCGCATTGCGCGGCCACGCATGCGAAGTACGGCGCGCCCCCAACCCTGTCAGCCGCGCCCCTGACCGGTCGGAACAGGGCAGCGTTGTCGGCCCCCGATTTGGCGTCGAGATACCTTCGGCGAGGGTTTGGCGGCGGCCTCTCCTTCTAGTTGTCCGCCTGGTGGCGGTGGTGGGGGCAGGGATAGGATAAGGGGTTGGCGACGCTTGGGTCATTCTTGCACGTGTCGACCAGCGTTGCTTGCGCGGCGATGCCTGACGGTGACTTAGGGGGCCGCGACGGTGGCTCCGCAATGCTCCCGAAGCTTGCTGAAAGCGCCCCGCTTGGAGCCAAGGCCAGCGACGTTGGCGCTGGCGAAATGGGCCAACTGCAAGCCGTTTCCGTCAATGGAGCTGGGGCCGCCTCAGGCTTTTCGGCGCTCCCAAAACAGCGCAGCGTCATGCAGGGCGTGGCCCGCGGTGGGCAGTTCCATGGGAAGAAAACCAGGGGGGGGCCCTAAAACTAGGCCTGTGGGAAGTCAACGAGTAATCCCACCAAAAGAACCTTGACAAACCTGGGAGCCGCCGGGGGAAGGATCGAGGGAGGGGCGACGCGGCGGCAGCGGGCGGCGGCACGACGGGGGGGGCGCCAACGCCGGCGCCGCAGCCAAAAAAAGCAAGCACAAACGAATACAAAAAAGCGGCCGCACCTGTTGCCCAGCAACGAATTCTGCACTGGATTTACCCATCATGGCTCTGTCTTTGGAACCCGTCGGCGCTGGTTTGGGTCTCGCGCTGGCTGGTGCCGCTGTGCGAGGCATGCGCATGCCCTGGCATCTCATCCTCTGGGATTCGCGTTTGGGACCGCACTGGGCGATGGTGGCCTGCGAATCGGCGACCTCGCCGGCGAATCGGAAGACGCTCCCCCGCGCTGGGCTTCGTGTCGCCTGGGCCCAGGTGGCCTTTGCCTTCGTGGCGTTGGTTCGCGGTTGAACTTATCAAGTTCGTCCTTGTGATATTCGGCTTTCCGCGGCAGTGAAACCACTTGGGCTAGTGACTGCTGTTCGCCGTCAACTGTGGCGTTGACTGATCCGATCGCGGTGCAGCGTGATGACTCCGAGAAAAAACTCGAAGGTCCCGAAAGCCGCCGTGGCGGTGGCCGAATTCTGCTCTGGGGCACGATCTTGCCCTGGCGTGGTCGACGTCGCCGCGCTGCTGTGGCCACTCGTGTCCACGTCGGTTTCCACCGTGCCGGCGCACGCGGCGGCGATGGCTGCGGCAAGCACGAAACTGAGCCAAGTGCATCCAGTAACTTTGCCTAGGGTTCTGCTGGTGCCGCGCGGCGTTTGTCGGGCATTGGCAAGACTGGGTTTAGTGGGACTGGGTTTAATGATTTGTACCAGGGGACGCCGCCCCGAACCCCATTCAACCAACTGGAATTGCCGCCACTCGAAACAACACCAACTACGGCAGACCTGGTTTGATGATTCCGGCCGATGTTTTGGGCGTCGGGGCCCAATCACTGACCGGCTCACCATACCAGGGTCCTGGCTATGCCCGAGTTTGGTCAGTGTCGGCTCGGTCCTCTGGCTGGACCGGCCACGCAAGGTTCTCTTCGGCCGTGCCTTCCATGGAGGAGTCGTTGTCAAGAAACGCTTCCCCCGACGGGCTTTGGGGCGCACGGGCGTCAGCGGCGGTGGTGGTGGCCGTGGCGTCGAAACAAGCATGACCATCCGAATATCAACAAAAGGACCGCCTGCGTTTGACTCGCGACTGCTTCCGGCTACAACATGGCGACGACGGCGGCCGATCGGGCGATCGCTCTTCAGAGCGAGGCGTCGCAATGCCTCTTTTCTGTGGAACCCGTATCCCCCCCGAAACTCTCCTGCCTCCTCCTGCTCCTACTCCTCCTCAATCCCCCTTTCCCCTCATGCCTCGCCCCTCGCCTTCGTCCCCGAGACGGCCCCCCGCAGAAGCCGCCGGCGTCGGCCATGGCGGCCGTCGAAGCCCGGGCAGCAGGCGCGGCGGCCAGAGGAAGCAGGGCGAAGAGGGGGAGGAGGAGGAGGAGGAGGAGGAGGAGGAGGAGGAGGAGGAGGAGGAGGAGGAGGAGGAGGAGGATGCGGTGAAGGGGAGGGCGAGGACGGAGGAGGGAGGAGAGACGATGGGCGAGGCAAGAAGGAGAAGGAAGGCGACACGAGACGGACAAGGCAGTTTGAGCGCAGGGCCCCAAAGCGAAGGCGCAATTACCAGGCAGCCTCGCTGCGCACCCAAGCCTGCACGATGCAGTGAAACGTGTTCACCCGCTCCCCTCCACGTTGCTCTCTTTGCTTGATCCCCTCCCCCTCCTCCCATCCCCTCCCCTTCCCGTCCCCCAGAACTCCCTGGTAGCTCCAGTTTCAAGCAAGGCCATCGAGGTGGGCTTCGGTATGGACCTCTCTCCAGCACCACTCCAGAGTTAGGGTGGGTTGCTATCACTAGGTGTGTTTGTGTGTGTGTGTGCGCCCCGTCCCCAAAAATTTCGTCATCTTTCCCTCCCCCGTCCTCCTCCCCGCCCCCATGCCCTCCTTCCCCCGCCCGGCCTTCGGCGCACGGCCAGGCGGTGACGGGCCGGGGTTTTCTTCCAGGCTTGGACGAAAGAAAAAGGAAAAAAAAAAAACATGTACTGGAGGGATGTCAAGCTCTAGTCCAGATACCTATGTATTTGCACCATTGGCCAGGTGGGGCCCACTGCATACCCTCGGAACAGGCGCACCAATGCACATACCACAAACGCGCATGCCAGAAAACACCCCCAGAACGGTCAGCCAATGCTCACCCTCGACTCCGGCCACGAGCTGCTCTGACAGAGTAGGACCTTCTCCCCCCGCTGGGCTTTATCACTGGGGCGACGGGGGCCTGCGGACTGGGCGTGCACTGGGAACTCGCAGGGCCGAGTTGCAAGGATGTCCCAGACGAACTGCCGCTGTCCACCCACGAGAGAATCCCAGTGTGCACCTGGTCGCGCAGCAAGCCCACACCGAAATCGGAGTCCAATGTCGGAGTCCAATGTCGAAGCACCACTGCACCACAAGCGAGATCCCACTGTACACACCCCAGATACGAGCACATGAACAGGGTAAAACATATCGGGTAAAGAACTCCAGACTCGAGGATGAGCCATGGCGATTCGCTATGGCATTGTCACTATTGCCTTGCCTCCCAGGCCGTGTTCTCCACGCGGTCACTGGGCCCCGACGACAGACTCCTACGACCGCGCCCCGACCGCGGGGCAATCGCGAGGACGCGCTGGGCCCCCTGGCGGGGCCAGCTGCGGCGGCGCAGGTGGAGGCGCAGCGCGGCCGCTCGCAGGACCCCGGCGGAGGCGCAGCGGGGCCACCCGTGGGGCCACGGACTGGGCCACAGAGGCGCCACCAGGTGAGGTCGCACGGAGGGCCGCGGCGGGCCCACCGGCGGGGCCGCGCGCGCGGCCACGCCGGGGCCACGTGCGGAGCACGTGTCAGAGCACAGCGAGGCCGCTCGAGACTCCAGCGCCCATCGGTTGGAAAGGATGGCGAGCGTTAAGGGGGGAGGAAAAGTGGCGTCAACACAAAAACTCGGAGGTCCGCGCGGATTTCTCGGATCGGCGCTGGACCCCCCTCCCTGGCGCGCGGAGCGCGCCAGGGGCGGCGCCGAAGGCGCCGGCAGGGGGGTCCAGCGCGGATCCGAGAAATCCGCGCGGACCTCCGAGTCTTTATGTTTATGCCACTTTTTGTTCCCCTAGACGTGGAGCGGGCGCGGAAAATCATCTCATGACTTCCGTTCGAAAATGCGAGCACGCAAACGCAAGGACGCAAGGGGGCAGATTTTCGCCCGCGACGCCAACGCGAATCAAACACACCCAAGACGACAAGATATCCCATCGCAACTCAGCCCTGGGGCGCACAACAATGAACCTCGCACCCAGGGCGGACAAATCAAAAGCCCAGAGGTCTGAAAACCGAATCCGAGCTCGACAGAGCATTGCCGTGGTGGCATGCCGGCGTCCGGCGGCAACCCTGGCGAGGGCGGCGGCGGCGGCTGCGCGGCGCGCGGTGGCGGCAGGTCTCCCCGCGGCAGGGCCGAGCGAACAAGCTTGTCTTCTGCGTTGCTGTCTTTGCCGCTGGCGGGTCAGCAGCGTCGCCCGCTGGTCCTGCTCAATGAAGGTTCTGCGCTCGACAGCCCTGGCCAGGCGCGTGTTCCTTCCCGCGCCGCCAGACAGATGTCGCGTGGCACGAAGTAGCGGGGCGCGCCTGAAGTGCCGCACGTCTTCCGACGCCCGTGCAATGCACTGGCCCATCCAGCTTTGGCGCCCCGCCTTCTCGCCATCTCAGGGCGACCGCATTCCGGCGGCAGCCTGGTCGCGGTCGAGGATGTCCTGGCGCTGGCAGTTAACGAGTCGCCGCCGCATTCAGTTGCGGCAGGAGCGTATCCCATGGACGGCGCATGTCTGCACGAGGCCCCCCACGTCGTCAGGGCCCTCGATGGGGCCACTGCCAGGGCCAGCGACCTTGTCTGTCTCCTGCATGGGGTCGTCGCTTTCCACCAGGTGCGCAACGCAAGCTGCTGGATTGGCGCCACTAGACCCAGCCGCCCCAGTTTCCCTGCCCAGGAGGCGTGCGGTCTGGCGGCCGTCGGGACTGGCGCCCGTCGCTGCCCGTCGCGCAGGCCGGCCGGTGCTGGTTGATCCAGCCTCTTGCTTAGTTGCCGCACCCTGCGCGGCGCATGCTGGCGCTGCCACTTATCCCACTAGCACGTAGCTCGGGCGTGACAGAGGAGGCGGCGTGAAACTGCGCGTCGCCAGTGCTGGCGAAAGAAACAACATTGCCTCCCCCCGCGTTCTGCACGCGGCCAGGGTCGGCGGGGGGGTCGTCCGGCATTGAGGCAGGCGCCCTAATCCCCCAGTCGCCAAGGAGAAAAGCGCGCACGGCGAGCTGGGCGCGGGCGAAGGCTCCCGCGGGCCACAGCACGCGACGACGCTCACCCAGGCGGCGCCCGCAGCGCGCAGCGTTGTGAGCAGGCGCCGCTGAGCCAAATGCCCCGGGGCGAAGGGGGACGGCGGCGATCACAAGAGGAGGAATTATAGCGAACCCCGTGCTATAGCGGACCCGAGCTAACTGCCCCTGCAACGGTGCAGAATGGATCAACAAAAACCCTAGTGAGCGCCACCTCGATGGGAAGAGGGAGACCCATCGAGGCCCCTTCAATACAGCTCCTGCGGCGATTCGAGGCGGACGCGGTTGGGTGGCTCGCCCGTCGGGTCGAAACCCGTCTCCGCCCCTTCAGCGGGCTGAGGTTCCGCCGTTGATCCGTCGGCGGCATCGCTCCCCTGCCCCAGCGGGACTGGAGGCAGGGCGCAAGCACTCGGTTGGGATTGGGCCGTTTGGCGTGCCAGGGCCGTCGGGGCTTTGGCCTGCGTGACAATCGGGGCCACCTGGCCATGGAGGCCTTTGTGTCCGCGCCGAGAATGGTCGGCCCCACGGACACTAAGGCAATCCCATGTTCTAGCTGGTTGCATTGCTGGGCGAGGGTGGCCCGGCGAATGGCCACGCATGACACTGTGGTCTCCGGGCGCAAGACCGCGTCGGCCGGCTGGTGCCGTTCGGCCTCTGCGCATCGGAAGCGGGCATCGGTCTGTTCCGAGATCCCCTGGGCGGGTGGTGGCGAGAGCCACTCTTCGTCGGAGCCCCTGTCGCGGTCCGGTGATTCGGCGACCCGACCTCTGGTCGACGCCCGCGGGGAGCTCTTGCCCCCGTATCTTTCGCGTCGCCCCGGCATGGCGCAGCCCTCTCGGTCGCGCAGAGCCAGCGGCGCCCGGTCCAGCGCGGCCTCGGGCCACCCAGGTGATTCCCTAAGGGCTTGACGACTCTTCGCCAATCGACTTGTGGTGATCGAGCCAGATAAACCCAGGTAAATGCAGGCAAATCCAGGTAAATGCAGATAAATCTAGGTAACTTCAGGCAAATCCGAGAAAGTCCAGGAAAAAATCCAGAGATCTTCAGGGACATCTGGAACAAGCTGCGGCCGCTCTAAGCGCGAGTCGAAGGACGGCAGAAGTCGTCAAGCCTTCAACGAGTGATGGCTCCGCGGCTGGCTGCGCTGCTGGGGCGCCAAGTTGCTCCTCTCGGCGCCGTGGCCACGCCGCTTTTCACCCCTCCTCCCTCCTCCCTCCTCCCTCCTCCCTCCTGCCTCCTCCTCCTCCTCCTCCTCCTCCTCTTCCTCCTCCTCCTCCTCCTCCTCCTCGTCCTCCTCCTCCTCCTCCTCCTCCTCCTCCTCCTCCTCCTCCTCCTCCTCCTCCTCCTCCTCCTCCTCCTCCAGGCGGCAGGGCGCTCCACGGGCCTGCCGCGCGTAGCGGCGGCGCAGCCGGCGGCGTCGGCAGGGCCTGCAGAGGCGAGGCCTGGCGGACGCCCTGCCCTTGCAGCCACGGCGGCGCGAGGGCGCCAGGCACCCCCTGGCGGCGGCCCTGCCGCGGGCCCCGCCGCCACCGGAGCCTCCGGCGGGAGGATGGTGTCCGTCGATCCTCACGGCGGTCCCGGGGTGGTATCTGCGTGGGCGTGGGCTGCAGCTGTAGGTGGTGGCGCGGCCAGTTTCAGGATGGCAGAGCCGCCTCTGGCGGCTTCGCCCCGTCCTGTTTTTCTTTGCGGGGCGCCGGGCGGGCGCCGCTCGAGCCGAGGAGCGGAGATGTCCGCGGGGGCCAGGGCCAGGGCAGGGGGAGGGGGAGGAGGAGAAGGAGGAGGAGGAGGAGGAGGAGGAGGAGGAGGAGGAGGAGGAGGAGGAGGAGGAGAGGAGGACTTCGCAGCGCCACCCAATGGAAGTCACGACCCTGACGATTTACGTTCTCGCGGCGCCCTCGGGCCCACTGCCCGCGACGCCGCAAGGGCGGCGGCGGCGCCCCCGAGCTCGAGCGCGGCCTGCCGTGACTCCGCGGCGTCTGGCTTGACGCGGGTTCCCGCCCGGTCGTCCGCGCGGATCGCACCGGAGGCGTTGTGCCTCTGCGTGGCGGCGAGCGCTTCTTGGAGAGTGCTCAGGTGGCCATCTTGACTACCTACCAGACCACCCCAACCCAACCCGAAGACCCGAATTTCGGGTTGGGGGGGGGTAAGGGTTCCACATGTGTTTTTTCGATGTTTCCCGACCCCCCCCCCCCAACTGGAAATCGAGGGTAAATCTGAGCCTTCGGTTTGGGTTTGGGTGGTTTGGTGGGTGGTGACATCTGGGCACTAGTCCGTGATGTTGTCGCCGGGCGGCGGCTCTTGTGTTCCGTGGTAGCTGGCATCGACTTGGATGCCTCCCTGGCCCGACGCGGAGAGGCACGTTCGCCCGCCAGCCTGCGTGCTCCAGCGCTCGCGCCGTGCGGCCCAAGGGCTCCTGGATTTAGACTGTACGGACATCGGATATGAAGATGGCCATGAAGGCGTCCGTGAGGTCGTCATCGAGTTGCTGCCTCACGCTGTCGAGCTTCGTTGTCTTGTGGCGATTGTGGCCTTTTTGCCGAGCCGCGCCCGTGCCTCCTGGAATGCGGTTTCCGTTGATGGGGCGACGCCTAAGAACTGGGTGGAGCATAGGTCCTCCAATGTTTGCGCGGCAGCAGTGGCGTCAGCCTCGCAGATGGCGCCTCGAATACAAGTGACTCTGTCGGCTGGGTCGGGGGCAACCTGAACCACGTTTTGGAGGCAGTAAACCTTGGTGCGGCCCACCTGGTAGATGGTCCCGTTGAGGCTTGGTAGCCTGAATCGTTCTGCGGAGGACAAATATGAGGGCCTCCTTCCCGGGGAATCTGTGTTGGTCGGTCCCAGGACTGACTGCTCGTGCCAGAAGTTGGTCCGGCCTGCGGATATGTTGCAGGAGTTGGCTAGCTATCCTCTTCTAGCGCGGGGGAAGAGATGCTGCTGGTGCATGATGTCCCGTCCTACGTTCTGTTCGGTGCGAGTGCGACGGGGGCATTCCAGTTAGGCGCATCGAAGCTGATGGGTGGGGCGGTGCCGTTGCCCTGGTGGGCGCCGGCGGAAGCCCTCGACCCTGGTGAATCGCGGCTGGAGCCCGTATTGTTGCCAATACCGAATTGATGCCTGTGAGCGAGGCCGCTGTAAGCAGCCACTGCTCGGTCGGCACCGCCACTGCTCCGGAGTACGGCGACGCAGGCTCCCTTGCGACTGAGGTTGGTGACCTGCCGGTCCTCTCAGGTCGCCTTTGGGCGGACCTTGCCTGGTGTCTTGGGCTGCGGTGGTGAAGAAGGCGCATGGCGAGGGCCTTTCGGAATAATAGCGCGCGCGCGCGGAAAGAAAAGGGCATGACACGCATCGGTCACACATGATACGGGTACATGCTCAACGGACTGCGGGAGGGGCGGAAGAGTACATGCCGCGGCCTCGACCTGAGCACAAGTGCTCTCGAGCCGAAACTGAAGTGAGAGAGAAAGAGAGAAAGATGGAGGAAGGGAGAGAGGGAAGGAGGGAGAAAGGGAGGGAGGGACAGAAGAAAAAGGATAAGGAGGAACAAGGCGGGGAGAAAAAAAAAGACGAGACCGAAGAAACCCAGTTGCAGAAAGGAGGAGAGGAGCAGAAACATGAGGAGGAAGAGGAGGAGTGAGATCAGAGGATGAGGAGGAAGAGCAGGAGGATGCGACGGAGGAGAAGGGGGAAGAAGAGACGGAGGAGGACGCGAAGGAGGAGGAGCAACTGCAGGGTGCGGAGGAGACGAAAAAGGCGCGATCTGAAAGGAGTGCTGGGAGGAAGAATCGGGCGGTGGGGGGAGGAGGAGGAGGAGGAGGAGGAGGAGGAGGAGGAGGAGGAGGAGGAGGAGGAGGAGGAGGAGGAGGAGGAGGAGGAGGAGGAGGAGGAGGAGGAGGAGGAGGAGAGAGATACAAGCCAAAGAGGGGGCGGCTAGCAGAGAGCAAGATGAGGGCGACGGGAGGGGGAGAGGTTGAAAGGTGGAGAAGTAAGTTTGGTATGTTTCACATGTTTAGGACTTGATGTGTCCGTTGACCAAAGACCCGTGCAGAGGGGGGGGGAAGAGAGAGAGAGAGAGAGAGAGAGAGAGAGAGAGAGAGAGAGAGAAAAAAAAAAAGGGAGCAGGAGAAGGGAACGGAGGAAGAGGAGCAGGAGTAGGGGCCAAGTTGGCCAGGTCGAACAAGCCACCGGGGCCCGCCCATCCCACCCTCCCCCCTGATCATAACATAGGAACCACTGATGGCACACCTAGGTATCGGGACTGGCGTGCTTCCCCGCCTCGCAGTCGGAAGGCGCTCGCTCGCGGCCCCGCTCCCGACGACCTGGCGCGGGAGAAGAGCCACAGTCCGCGCACGGGCGCGGGCGAACAAATCTGAAAATCCTTGGGTGACGCTGCGGCCAGAGCATCGTTTAGCCATCCGGCTGGCGCGGCGGAGACGAGGCATGCGCCGCGCGCGCTGGCGCGACGCAGACGAGGCAGCACCGCCACCTCCGCGCAACACCTGCGCGGCGCATGAGCAAAAACGCTGCAAAAACGGACTGGCGCGGCCCTGCTGCCGCTGCCGCTTTCGCTGAAGGAGGGAGGAGAAGGAGGGAGGGGGAGGAGGAGGAGGAGGACGACGACGACGACTGGGCAAGCGGAAAACGTGCGCCGCGCTGGAGCGGGAGCACCACGTCTGGCGAAATCTGCACGGGGCTTGGGCGAGGGGCGACAATTCGCTTTCGCTCGCGGGCGGCTCCGCCGCGGCGACAGCCCAACTCTTAGCCTTCTCTGGGGCGGCTATACAGTTCGGAAGAGCGCGGCGAAGACGAAGCACGCGCCGCGCCCGAAGCAACAGCGCCACTTTCTCTCACAAGCTGCGTGGCGCTTGGGCGAGGACAGCATGCCCGCCCGCTCTCGCGCGGCCTAGGTAGGCTATAGCTGCCAGGAGAAAGCGCCGCGCCCGAGCGGGAGCGTCACTTCCACGCGAGATCTGTACGGGGGCTTGGGCGAGGAAGACAAGTTCTCCAGCTCGCGCGCGCCCCCACCCCCAACGACTTGGGAGAGTGAGAAGTATGCGCCAAGCTGCAGCGGCAGCGCCACTTTCAGCCAAGATCTGCACGGCGCCGAGCCGACAGCGACAGTTTTGTCCGCTCGCGAGCGACCCGCAGCCAACGAATGGGAGGGCAAAACATGTGCGGCGCGCCTAAATCGAGAGCTGACTTCTGAGAAAAGGACACGGCGCCCAGCGGCTGGCTAGCTAGGTGGCACAGTGAGAGTACGCTCAAACATGGGATACGGATGCGGAGGAGGACGACGATGACGTGGAAGGGAAAGAGTGGGAACGATGAGGTAGGGTTTCAGTCGCTCCCGCGGGTTTTGGCCGCCCCGGGGTGCCGTTCACTTCTGGCAGGCCTGCTCCAGTGACCCGCACACGGCGGACGCGTTGGCGAGCCTCTCCGCTTGAGGAGCCTGAGGGGGACATAACTTCGCGGGCGCCCGCCGGAACGTGACAATTTGTCTTCTTGCCCGGGTATCGGTCGTTACCCCGGGGGGGGGGCAGTCGGGCGGGAGGGTGACCGTAACGACGGCCGCGGCGTGCACCCGCCAAGGTGCGTACGCGGCACCAGCGCATCAATGGCCTGTGTGCACCACAGCATGCAGGAGGGGGAGCCCTGGCGCCCCCTCCAATACGATCGTCAGCGTTACTCCAGATTTCGTAATAAAGGGAGGGGGGTCTCATTTCGGGGGGGGGGTCTCTTCCAGGCTATCTTGGAGGGCCTGGGGGGGTCAGGGGACGGTGTTTTGGAGGGTTCTCCCACGGGGGGGGGGTAAAACTTCTCGTCTGGGAGGGTTGAAACCCCCTCCCTTTTATTACGAAATCTGGAGTACCCGGGGGAGGGGGTTGGCCCGGGTGATGCGCGTGACCCTGGGGAGGCAACAAAAACAAAAACAAAAAACGGACCTCTTGGGAGTCTCGGCAGGGCCGCGGCGGAGGCATCTGCACACCCTCTCGCTTACACGCAGGAGCGACCCTTGGCAGGAGTGACCTTTCGTGCGCGGACGAAGGGGGCGCAAGGTGGCCAAATTAGGGGGCCACATGCGAACCCTACCCCTGCCCCCCACAACTTCTGAGGGGGAGGGGGGGTTCACTTCGTTCGGGAGCTCCCGAGCGAAGTGACCCCACCCTCCCCCTCAGAAATCGTGGGGGGTAGGGGTAGGGTTCGCATGTGGCCCCCTACAAATCCAAGCGCGCAAGCAGCCGCTATCGCACAGCGCTCAGCGATGGGAGAGACCCCGATGAGCCCGCACCAAAGGTCACTCTGGCGAAGTGTCGCTCTTACGTGCAGTCGGACCCTCGCCGTCCCGAGACCGCTTCCGGGATGTGGGGCCGTCGCGAAGCGGCCCCGGGAAGGGGTCGGGAGGTGCAGGGCCCGCCTCGCGACCAAAACATCGAGCCGCCGGAAGCCCAGGGGGGCCGCCCAGCGGAGAGGATCAGCGGGAGCGGCCCATGCGTGTTGTCCTCGGCGGCGAGCGACGGGAGGAAGTGAGAAGGAAAAGG